ATTACAGTAGTAACTGCAGATGCCCTGCACTAAACCTACAGCAGAGATGAAATGTACATTATGTTTAGAAAAACAATGGTCTCTCTCTGAAGGCAATGTAACAACTTAAGCTAGATATTCTTTTGTTCAGACCATGAAGGCTGATTCTGTCCTGTGGCACACATCAAATTTGTTTTGCACAGCAGAACTGCTCTAAAGCTCAGCAAACTGTTGAACTGAAAAAAGAGGAAATCTGGTGTTCTGTGGCATTTAACAAAAACATGGAAGAAAAAAAGAGGGCTAATGTGGGGGGAAGGAGGGACAGATTATTTAAAAAATAAAAGACAACTTGAAAGGTCCGGAAAATTCAAATGAATGTCCTGAGGTTTTCTGGCGCCGGTCGCGGAAATTCACATTCATTTGTCATGAAGCAAACTGTTGCCTAAGCCACCCAGAAAACAGAAAAACACAGGCCAGTTACAGCTATGCTACATAACTGCTGAATTCTGACAAACATAACAGGGTGCAGGTATTTCATGTGCAGTTCATAAAGGACAGGTTTGGAGATTCAGCTGCTCAGAGCAGGCCATTGGAACGCAGCATACAAAAAATCTCTTGACAGCGGAAGTGGACGGAGATCTCCACTTTAATGTTCAGTTGCCTGACAAACGTCAACTGAAATTTTACTTTGAGTCAGGGGTTAAAGGTCTATGAACTCAGAGGCTGGCTGGATCGCTCTCAAGATTTATGACCCCTACATATCGCTCAACTATTATGTGAATTACTGTAGCTGTTCTCGTTTTTTATGACGGGGTTTAATATTATTTTTAGAGAGCCCCTCCAAAGAAATTATAGTCTGCGCACCCAGACACAATAGAATACATGCCCCATGACTACTCTCCTTAAACAAAGAGAGATTATTCAAATGGGGGTAGAGATAATTGCTAGTCTCTAAATAAAGAATACTGATTAAATATGATTTAACCCTTCCATTCGTTTTTCCTTTACACCGTTATCCCCATCGACATGGATAAAATCCCTCCAGACTAGATAAATCGTTTTTGAGGGTCCAAGGTGGTGGTATATCAGACACTTAGCACACTTGCTACACGTTTTCATACACAACAATAAAGGGTCCATTCAAATACTGGCGGTCCATTCAAGTGTTTTATATATACAGTATATATCAAGATTTGTATATACATAAATAGGCTTAGACATTCTGGACAGCAGAGATGCAATTCAGATGAAACTGAAGTGTTAAGTATGACATGCAAGCAGTAAGAATACACATTTTAAGTATCAGAGCATAATCATCAAACTGGAAGACTACACCTAAAGATATTTAGTGGTTTAAAGCACCACAATTTAAATAAAGCAAATGTTCGTTGTTCATATATAATTATTCATATAGCTCGTAATAAAGTTTCATACAATTAATCTATATGATGTGCAGTATAAAGGAACTCATTTTAGGATCCTGGGTAGCTGCAGTTCCCTCTTTCACAGGAACTCAGTCCTGTCCAGGACTTGGAAATATTACATGTAATCAAGACCGTCAATAATAAAAAACATTCAATTCGGCAATTAAGTAATCCTGTAGAATTGACTCTAGAAGACTAATTGGATCTGACAAGAAGTGGAGACGAACACGTTTTTATACGGGGAGGTGAATTGAGCGGTAGCCAATTGACGCACTGAAACTTTGTCGACTACTTCAGGACTGACAATTAAACAGGACTCTGAGGGCAGACATGCAAATCTAGTGAAATTGCGTTTGGAAGCTAACATGCACTGTTGACACAAACGGTCGCGGGACAGCCAAACAACCAGAGCGCCCGAATGACTCTGTGTCTTTTATCATCTGTATTATTATTACTTAATGTCAAAGGTCCGTCCTGGAATAGAAAGTGAATCTAGTTCTTCATTTCGCTTGAGGGTTTTAGTTAACGACTCTCGACAACTGGTAGTTTTCCCAGCTTTTAAATCACAGGTGCTCTTCACGGTGAATTAGCGGGGTCAGTTTCTGGCGTCCTGACAATTTCCCATTTGCCTTTACCAATCATGGCCTCCTAATAATCCCTGTTTGTGAACTGGCTTCATCACTCTGCTCTCCTCCTCACTGAGAGTGTCGCTGCTTGCGGTTATTCCGAAGGCCCTTCCTCTACTTTTCCAAGCTGCTTGTTTTTAAGCAGCTTGTTAGGATGAACTCCGTTACGGCTCTGCCAGTGAGATATGTATATCCTTCTTATAAAAAAGCAGTTTTAGACGAGTTTACTCTGAAGGATTTGTTAAAATAGTCTGATAAGCATAGGAGGGTAGTTGTAGATAATAACGCAGTAGCTTGACAGGAGTTCAAGATCTTAATCGTTCTTAGAGATCTATTCATAGAAGTGGAAATGTGTTGTTGCTCATCGATTTTCATTTATTTCAGTCCATGTATTTTGTAATGCGCATTTTGTAAATGTGAGTTTTGTTGCATAGTATTTTATTCTAAAGGCGTCATAGAAAACAAAGCTGTTATTTCACTATAAAGACGAAAAATACGACGCGACAATTTAAATGCTATACATAAAGGAACGGGAAAAAAATAAATTTACATTAAAGTGTAAAATAGTTTGATGATGTCCATTTAGGGAAAACATATCCATGTGTAATGTTGATAGACACTCTGCGTTTCAAAGGTTTCAAAATCCCCACACACAGTGTTAACACACAACACCTAATGTGGGGGTCCCACCTCGAGTCTAGAGTCTTCTTAGAAGTGAGCACTCTGCTTGTGAAACTTTCGCGTGGCTCAGTGGAATATTATAGCATAATCTTTGAGCATTCAAAAAAAAAACTTGGGAAGATCTTTGAGTACTTGTGAAGAGCTACGTATTGGTAAACGTACAGTACAAAATGTCTGAAGTGCAATACCCTTTCAAGAATTATTAACGCACACATAGAGTCAGTGAGGTATGTTTAATACCTTTCTGTACCGTTGTGACTGAGTGCTTTTATTTAGAAACTCCGATTCACACAAAACGAAGGAGTGCGTCTAACAGATTAACCTAAAACTCTTAATCTCCACAAGCGACAGTCAGCTTCAAGTAGCCGATTGAAAGCGTTGTGCCGATCTGACATACGTACGACAGATTAATTAGGCTCTAAACTGTGACTGCGCACCTGTCTCCCCTCTTTGCCTGGCACCTTTAATTCAACCACGATGCCCTTGCTCGACTTTGCTAGTGCTTTATTTGGAGGGCTGACAACTGGCGTGGAGAAATGAAAAACCGTCTTGTTCTTTTCAGATGTGTTTAGGAAGAGATGTCTGTACTTCATAATGGAAGAGCCCAGACTCCCATCGTAGGCAAAGAGGGAAAGAAAAGCCATCCGAGAAGCCGCAGCTCAGCTATAACCTGGGCAGCACTTGTGCCTGAACTGCCAACTGCGCACCATGCGAGTCTATCCACTGCCATAGGCCACCATAATACGGATTTTGTGCAAGGAGTGGCCCTTACGAGTTACACCTTCACATTATGTGAAATGGTGTAACCTGCGAGTTGGCAATGGGTGCAGGAGTCCCTTAAAGACTGTCCTTCAGATCTTTATGGGGAGTCTACATGCAATCAGTTATGAAGAGTTTGTCCTAATGATACAGTTTTCTTCGCGTTCCAAGAGAACAAAAATGTTCCCGAAAACACCTTTGGGGAACGAAAGCTAACAGGAAAAGTGGCTACGGAACACGGGGGAAATTGGTAAAGAGTACGGCGCTTTCGTCCACACTGACTCCTCCGTTTGAACGATAAAAGCAGGGAGGGGGTTTAAACTCAAGCGAAATGTTGAAAGCCCGCACTAACGGTGAAAACAACTTCAATTGACAGCAATCACGTGTATAGAGCCCAGCTGCTGGGGAGAGACAGCAGGGGAATTCACATAGCTGAACATTCACAGTGCATGCCCGATCTCACACAGCTCTCTCGCAACAATGTGCGTCCGTCGCTCAGCATGTACAGTACGGACGCTCTGGCGTAAAGCATAGGGCATTGACTTTTTTTTAGAGAGGGTTGTAATGATGTGCGGTGGATTTAGACCTCGCACATCAATCAAACGTTTTATTGGGGGGTGCTAAGACTGTCAAGCCATTTTAGAACACGTGTGGTCTATTTATACCATGGGGTGATAAAAAAAGACATTTGCCAAAATACACAACCTCGAAGCTTTGTCCACACACTACGGTACGTATGAGGTTGCCTTGAGACTGATCAAAAAGATCAGGGAGAAACTATTCCATTATCTGTCAGGTGAATTCGAAAATGAGTTGCGGTGTCCTATTGACTCTCTTCGGGGGGAAAAATCGATTTCCTTCTTTGACAGATGAACTGTTTTACACTCTTACATACCACAACCTTGCTTTGTTAAACGAACTCAGGAATACAGCCTTTTATACCTTGGCACGAATATGTCAGTTGCGCATATTCTTATCCTAAGAAAAGATTCGAGCTGTTGAAGACATTAAAATATGCATCGTGTATTTTGATTCTGTCACAGGGACACCAGAGAATTGCAGAGCCGGGATCAGAGACCTCCTTGCTCTGAGGAAAGTCAGGCGAGTAACCTTTCCAGCCGGAGTTGAAGATCAGGGTGAGGACCGAGTGGACAAACACGACTCCTTAATTTATACCGGCACTTCTCCGCGAGTCTGTGAAAAGGGAATTAACAAGACGGTCCCTTTAGCAGGCTCAGAGGTCAGTTTAAAATTCACCGGGAGCTTCTGTATCCTTCTGTAGAGAAGCTGGTTAACAAGCGCTGAAGAAAACCACATAGAGAATGAGCGAGAATCCACAGTCTACTGGCACAACAAATACACGCCGTCCAATTTACATTCCGTGAGGTAGAAAGGATAGTTCATATTAAAAGCCCTTAATATTCTCAAAGCTATACATGCAACTTTACAAAAATTAAACATCCGTCGGATTTTTACTTGATTATTTCCATAGGAGGGAAAACTCAATTCAACACACGGCTTCGACACCTACCTTCTAATCAAATCTCCGACTCCAGAATACTGAATCACGTGTGTGTGTGTGTGTATTGGAGGTAAATAGAGTCACATTTCGGTTTAAACCCCCTGCTGACAGTATGAGATCACCGGGACTCCTCGCATCGATCTCGGCTGTAATGAGCACGCCGCTAACCGGGCTGTTTTTCGGGATCTCTCCGGATCTGGGTCGGTCACGCTCCTGGGCTGGATCGGTCCTGCTATAGGTAGTGCGCTTGAGCCAGTCGCTGCTCCGGGGTTTTACTAAGAATGGATTTCAGACTATTGTTCCCCCCGCCGTTTGCCTTTCAATTCTGTTGACCGAAGTGGTGCAATTAACCCCTCCCGAGGAATACGGATTTGAAGAATAAAAATGTCTCGCCAGCGTCAAATCTCGCTGTTCACAAAGTTAGACGACATCAAGTCTATCCCCGGTGTCTGTTTCGGTCCAGATCCAATCGTTCGCGTGTGTCGCCGCAAAGCCCTCCGCACAAGCCGCATTCTTCACCGCGGAAGGAGATGAGATGTCAGCTTTGGGGCATCCACTGTTCCCCTCGATCGTGCTCCCCCCCGGTATCCCAGAAATAGCTCCCGGTGGGTGGCTGCCGGGATCAGTCCCCTGTCTTTCACTGCCTTTGTCCCCCCGGAGACACGGCGTTGAGCGGCTCTATTGTCTGGTCAGTGGCGCTTTGTATTAAACCTGTCTGCATTGGGGGGCTTTTAAGTCCGCTGTGTGATTCTGCTGCAGCAGCGATGAGACGAACGCTCTCCTTCTGCACCGCCGAGGCTCCCCGGGGTAGGATGTTGTGATTCCCAGTGTGGTGTTGCCGACTGTCTGAGCGCACGTTTCCCCAGCTGTCCAACTCCATCACTTCACAACAAGGCGTCAGCGACACAGGTCCCGCCCCGGACAGTGCTCGGCTGAGCGAGTGTCCGCGATGAGGGGAGTGTGTGTGTGTCTGGATTGTGTCTGTCAGGATTATGTGGGTGACAGACGGGGTATTTATTTTCCCAGGCCAAACGCCCGTGTAATCTTACTAAACGATTCACTGCGCTTGAAGCTGCCCGACAGTGTTAAAAGACTCCCGAGCTGCCAAAATCGTAGATTTGTGCATCGAAAGGAGCTATCGGTTTTCCCGTTTTTTTCAAACTTATCCACCCCTGTCGATTTTTTTTTTATTGGAACTAAATAATCGTGTTGACAGGAATGCGATAGAAGGCACTGTGGCTCTATGGCGTAGGCTGCAATTCGAAAACCAACAGCCTTTCGAATATTAATAATTTGTATCATTTTAGGACGTTGTTGGTATTTCAATGCTGCATGTTATGTTGTAATGAGGAGAGAAGGGGTTATAAAAATAACACAAAGCTCTACACAATGAGCCTCAAAAGGGGACACACACAGGTGACACAACGTCCTCGATGTTAAATCGAGAAATACTTTACGCCTTTTCACCATCAAAACATAAAAAGAACGACGCAAATGAGAACATTTCACATGAAATAGCAGTGAAAACTTTTTTTAATCCATTTATCTTTCAGACTTTAATAGATTACTGTACCTGGAGCGCGGCGGTTATTCCTGAGAGTATTAAACCTGTATTGAAAATATTTGAATTTTATGTCCCAGTTGACGACAGGTTTTTAACCATTACTATTAATGATCCTATCGTTACCCCGAAGAAGGTTCCACAGCCGAAACGTTGTGTTTTTTTTCTTCTCTTTTCAGCATGGAATAAAACTATTACTCGTTCCTTAATAACAGTATAGTCTGCACTGTACTGCTGTTCATCCCGAAGCCCCGTTAACCCCCCGGACTGCGGAATAGTTATTGAAATAATGAAGTTAAATCCCCTACAGAATATTAAAAGCAACATTAAAAAACGTATTCCACATTGACAAATAGAAGTAACGAGTCGCAATGCCGCTGTTGAGCCATCTTCAGGTCTTAAGTGTGACGCCTGAAGAGGCCAAACAGTCCAAAATTTTCCCCCTTTTACTTTTCAGTACACTTGACCTGTACGTGGTCTATTCGGCTGACGCAGCGCTCACGCACAGTGCTGGAACCGGGCAGTGCCAGCAGGCCACTGCGACGCGCATGCGCCCTGACAGCCAGTCCCGTTCGATTACTCGGACCGGGCAGCACAGAAACACAGACCCATAATCCGACAGTTGCACGATGAGGAAGCGACAGGAAGGAGGATGGGTGTCAAATATGTGATGAGTCAAGAAGGAGATTCTTTTCTCTGGCAGAAGAAAAAAAAAAAACGAAAAAGCTTCCAGAGGCAGAAACGAAAAGCAACAGGCGAGACTCCTTGCCTTATTTATGGGGAACTGACACCTGGGGAGTCAAAACCCATACAGGTAGTCAGAGGTGCCAGATTCGGGTCCCATAGGTTGTGATTCTCAGTCTTGGTTCGGGGTCTGTTTTTATTTATTTTTTGTTGCATCTTGGCTCTTATACACCAGTGTTGATTGGAGTCTGTAACTAGTGGCTTGTTTCAACTTTTTTTCTGCACTTAGGCCTTGGTGTCCAATATACCAAGAGAGTGGTAGATTGTGTGGTCTGTTTTTCGCTCTGTACGAGTTCTTCATTGCAGGGCAATGTATTTTAATGTTCAGCCCGAGGCATTGATTGAAAGAAAAAAACGTTTCCTGCTCTTAAAAAACGACTGAGATTTGTCGTCTGTGTGTACCTTGTGCACATCAGTGAGTGTCGGGACTGCCCTCCTGCAAAAGGTGTTTCCTCAGAAGCTAGTGAAATGAGAAATGAGTCAAATGAGGAGAGACTGCTTCGAGGTAGGAGTGAGGGCGTTGCTGGAAACCAAGGACTGAGTGCAGAAATCATTTATCCCAGCAGGCAAATCAGATCCAGGCACGGCCTGCAGCATCAGCGGTGATTAGGTACCGTGCTGGAACAGAAACCAGCAGACACCGGCTAACCAGGACCAGGATTAAGAACCACAGATTGAATGCACTAATTTTTCAGAAACGTTTCCAAAAACGCTCAGAAGACCTCGAAACTAGAGCTTCTGCAGCCAGGAACTTTCAGAGATTATGGAATTGAACTTTCAGATGACCCACAAGAATATGCCAGCACAAATAAACCAATGATGATGCACACGAATGGAAATTCGGTGCCAGTTCTAAGTAGACATTAATGCAATCTGTCAGCTCTGTGAATTTAGCCCTCCTACAAACGGCACAAACGATGAAATCCACCACATTCGTTACCTTAGTGCTGCTTTCGGTCCCCAGATATATCGCCTTCTTCCTCCGTGACCCTGCACGGCGTCTTTGACCGCGAGCAACCCCGTCAGGAAAGCTGAAACACTACAGTATATAACTGGTGGGAGGGTAAGTGTGATTGCAGTTTTGTTTCTTTGTTTGCCCTGGGGGAGGTCTTTAAATCTGAAGTAATCAGTTTCTCATTGTGTTTTAAATATGCAAATGAAGGGATGTTTAAAGATTCGACACGTTTTTCGAGCCAAGTACTCAGAAATACTAGAATTAGCTACTTCGTGTAGTACGTGACGTTGGTTCTATTATGTATTTTATGCAAAGCAAATTCGGATTTTTTCTTAAGGGACACTATATACCAAGTTGACCTAGGTAGTTCATAACACATCTACAAAACAGCATCTTGGAAACTCTCAGTGTCTCACACGAACAGACCTCGTAAATATTTGAAACTAGTTTTATTTCCACATAACATAATTCATCATATTTTTTTATTTAAAAAAAACTCATTATCTTTGCATTGACGTGTTGATGAAGTAACCTTGTTGAAACTTGAATTGAACATTAAAAATTTGTTTTCATTTCAATACAAAAAGTCATGTCCAGTCGCAAAAACGGCTAAGAAAGCGCATTACAAAGCCATCCCAGTAGCTTTAATGCGTGAAAAGAGAGCAAACAGGCGAACCGCCTCATCTCGGAACTATGACTTGATTTTAGGCTGAATAAGAGATCTACATGGCCGGTATTTTGCGTGGCCGGCCTGGTGGCTCCGCGGGCTGAACCATCGGACACTTCTAAAGTTCAGAGAGCAGATCGGCTCCCGGAGAGTCTTGAGTTGAAGTCGAGCCCCGAGCCTTCCCGTCAGTCTGAGACCTAATTCCCGGTCTGAGACCTAATCCCCGGGTGAAGCTCTCATGCTGTCGGGGTGAGTTTGTCGAAGTGGCTGTTCTCTACCACGCCGGCCGTTTTGGGGGGCTCCATTTTCGGGGCCTTCCAAAACAGGGCAAATGGGGGGTTTAAGTCCTTTATAAATGCATAGATCGGAATTCAATTCGAAAAAGCAGCCCCTTATACCACTGAGACACCTGCAGGACAGGTGTGGCACTGCCAGTGAAAGAGAGGTGCAGTCCTAACTAGGAGCGACAGGGGTCTCTCTCCAGCACATTTCTCTTGATTCGACCAGCTGGCCGCAAGATAAACGAGTCCGGCGAACAGCTTTGTAGGAGAATGTCACTGAATTAGGTTCTCTGAAAATCCTTCGCCGTTAAATCTTTATGTATGATTTAGTGAGTTCAAGTTTCTTTTTATCTTCAGTATCGTGAATATCCTTGTAACCGAGTGCACAGCTGTCGTTCATGAGCCGAGCCCGCCCCCAGAGTGACCTTCCTCAGCGGACACGCCCCGTCCACCTGTTCCACAGGTGCGCCCGGCAAGATGGCGGCGGGGAGAGTTTCTGCAGAGTGAGGTGCGTTTGCGTTTTATTTCTAATTTTATTATTTTAAAGACAAAAACTCAAATTTCACTTTGAGGAAAGTTAGACAAAAATGTATTGTTGTTGCAACTTTTGTTAATTGCGTTTGTTCTTGTTTAATTTGTGTTTAAGGACGCCGAGAAGAGTCTAAAGAGTCCGTTTGAGCGTGCTCTCGAAGTTTTAAAAGTCTGGTTTCAGCGTTCTTATACTACCTTTCATGTAAGTATGTTTTATTTAAGATATGGTATCTCTTACTCTGTTTCCTTTAACGAAAAAAGGCTGTAATTTATTTTCAAACACTTGCTGTATAAAGTCAGTAGCTGTGTAATCTCTCCTTTTCGGGTGTTGTAAAGATGAAATTGATTCGTTTTTCTTTATTTCTCCAGGTGATTAAAAATGATTTCAAGAATGGACCTCTTATGAAAGTGTTTTTCCAAGGTAAGTTCTATTCCTAACTTCCGCTAACACTCGATAAAACAACACGTATTTCCCAGCATTTTTACAAAAGAACAGTTTTCGTTTCATTGTGCTTTTGTAGAGTAAACTTTAAGGCGCTGGTTCTTTTTTATGATACTTTTATTTGTCTATTGAATTCACTGTGTAAAGATGGATAATACCGACGAATTTTTTCGATGGTTTTCAAAGCAGAGTTTATTCATATATTATACACGCTGTGATACCTGGTCTTGTATTGACAAGTAGCATCGAATTTCAATGTGGCTGAACGTATTTTGTAAATATTGGACTCGTAGGACTGAGATGTATTGGTGATTTTCCATGGTTTATTGTTCAATTTGAGTGTTTTAATATTTCTTTATTCCGGCATTTTATTTAAACAGTTAATAGACTTCAGAACTTCAAGTGAATCGATTCTACAAGTCCGATATCCTGTTAACCTGATCCTTTTTCTTTTGCCTTCAGTTCTGCGGCTCCTGGTTCTCTGCGCTCCGGCGATCTCCTTTCCAGCTCCACTCCAGCAACTCGACGACCGTTGGCCAAGTTCTTCTCGACAATGTGTGCTTTTTGTTACATTTGATTTTTGTTACCAGTGGCTTGATCTGTAATATCCCGATTCAGTGCTGTATTTTTTTCTTGACCTGCATGTTTTCT